TGCGTGCAAGCATTTTTTGGCCGCCCTTGAAAATAACATATAGGAAAATATCAAATATGTTCTCACAAAAAATTTGACTTGTAATTATTATGTTTTCTCTACGTTTCTAGTCATTCTGAACCGTTTGAGACCAATTTTGAAAAAAAAGTATGTTAAAAAAAAGTTTTCTCTTAAAAACGGTTAAATCGATTTCAAAAATTTAAGTCATTTTGATTGTAACTAGATTACGATTACCGTCTGTCAGTTTTATGCAACAATCGGTCAAGCCGTTTCTAATCAACAGAAAAGTGTATAATTTTCGTACACGTACGGTCTAATTTTGACAAATGCCATAAAACGATACCAATTTTTGCAAACTTTGGCGAATTTTAAAGTTTTAAACGGGTTGTGTAGGGCCGTAATATTGTAGTATGATCTAGAAGACTATGGTATATCTATATTAGATTATTGTCAAAAAATAAATAATAAAAATTTAACAATCTAACTTACTAAGTCCGAATTATCTTGATCTTCTTCTAAAGGTTCCGTAGATCCCCAACCACTCGCTGTGCAATTGCTTCCGGCACTTACTGGTTCTGTCGTACACCAATTGCTGATACATTGGTATTTTCAAGATTCAATGGTGTTGATAACTATTTTCAAAATTGTTCAAAATCAATCATCATTTGTTTATGAATAATTTTTTAAGAAATAGGGTTTCGGGATAATGAAAATCCAAAATTTAGCACTTAAGTAGTGAATTTTTGAACTTTTATAAAAATAGAGAACAGTTGCACATGAAAGGAAAAGCGAGGAATAGGCTCGCATTTTCTTTCAGAAAACTCAATAAATGCTATTTTTATAGGTAAAATACGTTAATAGTGTTGTTAGACAAAACTAGTTTTACTCACAAAAATGATGGCCAAATCATTAAACCATCCATCATGTTCAAAATCTTCATGGGTCACTATCGATTTGACTGTGCGCATTGATGTATATTCCGTATCATTTAAATCCAATGAACCAGCTGCCACCATTATGAGACTCTTGTCTACTGTTTTGGAAATGATCGTAAAATGAAAACATGAATGAATTAATTGATTATAGTATTATTTAAAATCAAAATGATGCAATCTAGCTAGCAAGTATTTTACCGAATTCTATGTCACAGAGTTGATACAGATTAACTCCTTAATACTTGATTTAAAAAATACTCTTACTCTTTTAAATGAATTAGTCTTTGATACCGAATAATTGTTTTTTCATTGTTTAATAACATCTTTAATACCCACGATGTATACCACAAATTATATTTTCATTCTCGTAATCCAATGATCTCATCAAAATGAAAACTTACAATATCTAGACCTCTAAACACTTTCGCTTCTATTGCCTGAAATATATATTTATACATCGTCTAAAGTTATCTCGGTAGATATTTTCAAAACCTTGAATATTCTTGCGGTGATAAATTTTTAAAAAAAAAACTGATTATTTCAGACATTTCGACATTCATTATGTCCATAAACAATTTTGATTCTGATTATTGTGTCGCTTTTCGTGAAGAAAATTACATGGAAAATACATATTCTTACAAAAATATAGATTTACCTTTACTTGTTAGGTTTATTTAATAAACATAAAATATTAATTAACTGTTTTGCCAAGGTATGCTTGGAATAATAATTCAATATTTACATTATATAATTTAGTCGTTAAATTAAAATTACTGCTGTTAATTAACAAATATAAACCTTAAGCCATTTTGTCTCATGGATTATTAGAATAATATCTAATAGCGATTTATTTTAGCTTTTACATACAATAAATCACTAATTGTATATAAAACATAATTTTCTGTGGGGCTTATATTCATAAATGGCCCTTTCTAAATAAATATTATTCGATTTTTTTTATCTAGAAATCGGGCATAGCGTTGAAGGGGATATGTATGCATAAAGTTTTTTGTTTGATGGAACATATTTGAATTATATCTAATTAATTGCTAAGCCGCCAAAAGAAAATACTGGTATTTATTTTAAATTGTGCATTTCGAGCGTCATATTTTATGTGTACATAAAATGTCATGAATGTGTCATTCAATTAAGATATACACAAAAAAATGAAATATGTAATCGAAATTTGCATACCAACCAGAAAATACAAATGCAATTTTATTGAACAGAATATTCTAAAACTGATTTATTTTAAAATGTCTGTTTATAATTTGTGCAATCGTCGTATCGTTAAAATCGTTAAAACATCGGAGTTCTTTATTAGACGCATGAAGGATCACAATAACGAATAGCATTGAATATTTCTTTGTTTTTAATTCTGTACAAATTGAAGAACTGTGAATTAGAACAAAATACGTGAACTTTTGTTTTTTTATATATTCCAATACTAGTCCGATTGTCTATAGATAATCTATAAAGCTTAGGTAACTTTGTTTTTTTCTTTTATATTTATATACTAATCGCACTATATATTTCCGTTTTTAACATTAAGTTGGGAAACGCAGAGACAGACAGTCTCTGTTTGCTCATTAATAAATCGCCTCATATGTTATCAACGCCACTCACTCATCGTTAACGCAGTGCGCTGCTGTCAACACCGCTGTAGGCGTAAGCACTGTCGCGCCGCAAAAGTGCCCCGTTCCAGGGCCGTACTTGGCGTCTACGTGCAAATATCGCACGGATGCTTGATAGGGATGGTCTCCTGTCTGTGCTTCCCAACCACCAGCTATGCGGTTAGAAGCATGCGATTCTGTAAATTGGATGAATAATTGAAATGTTTGTTGTACTAAATTCAACTACAATGATTGTTTTATATAAGGGCTCAAATGGTTTCAAATTGATAAAAAACAATTCTCTGAAAGTTTTAGTTCTTAATACTAACTTTTAAATAGTACGCAATTCAATCAAACTTCGTATGGAAATAGCATGAAAAAAATTTTGAAAATTGAAAAAAAAGGTATAAAGCGATAATGAATTAGCGACAAATGAATTTAAAACGATCAAAATTTTTGAAAATTTTCCATACAAAGCTTTTATTAAATTGCGCCCTAAGTAAAAGACAATATTAAGAGCTAAAACTTTCAGAGAATTGTTTTTTATCACTTTGGAACCATTTGAGCTCTTAGGAGCAAGGAAATTCGAAAATGTCCATATTAAGGACCACCCAATATATATATATATATATATATATATATATATATATATACAGGGCCGGTCCTGGGGCCCTCAGCGCCCGCATGCAAGATTTGTTCTAGCGCCCCCTCCCCCCAAATATATTTAACTGTTTTAACAGTTTTTCATTGAAATTATATAAACATTTCCTTTTTTTTTTAAATTATAATTAAAGTAAAGTAAATAAATGAAGTAAAGTAAATAATTATAATTATCAATCATTCTGGATTTTTGTACACACACTTTAGTACACAAAAAATTAGATATAATCTAAAAGCGTATAAAATACATTGACATTAAATTTATTTAAAAAATCGAGGCTATTCGCGGGTTGATCATAATCAAATATTTTTAAATTCTCAAATATTTCTAACGTAGGTGTAATATTAATATTTATGATTTTGAAACATTTAACTTATTTATTATGCGAGTTATTCTAAAGAGCAACCTATCACGACAAAAGAGCAAACAAAGACATAACACTCGTATTTTATGTTTTAAATTATATTTTATTTTAGTTTATTTTTTCATTATTTGCAATATCTAAAATTGAATTAAACTTCTCCTTATTGGTATCGTAAGGGCCGAATTGTATTCAGCTTTACTTTCCCATCATATTCAGAGTATCAGATTGTTTTTTTTTTTAAGTTAAACTTTTTAAAGTGTTAGTAAAGATTAGTATTTCTCTATTATAATTAGTATATATTTCTTTAACAAGTTCCATTTTAATTAAATCAGCTTGCTATTTTTCATCAATAACGCTCAATAATTAATTTAAACTTTCGTTGGTTTGCTCTTACGGGAATGAACACTAAATATTTTCTTTTTCGATTCCATGTTAACTTCAAACGAAGAAAAAAAATTAAAAGTACATTATATTAAATAAGCAGAACAATAATTTACAAATTTGCAGAGTTATTATTTGTTTAATTGTTTCTATTGATATCACATTGCAAACTGAATATGCCTTTTATGATTCATAGTTAAGTTGGATTGTTTATTATAATCTATTAAGTATTCAGGATTTTATATTTAAAAAAATAAAAAATAATATATTATAAATTCCATTTCCGAACCTCATTTTGGCGCCCCCTAAGGCGTGCGCCCGCATTTTTTGCATGCATAGCATTCAAGACAGGACCGGCCCTGTATATATATAGGGTGTACCAGACCTTGACGTCAAGCCTAAATGGCGTGATTGTATTGACCTTAATTGTCCTAGAAAAATATGGGAAAAAAATTAATCTTCCGTTGTTTGGAAGTTATGAGCTTTTAAGTGCAACCTAAAGTTTTGGTGGAATTATGACCATTTTTTGGTTATTGTGGTTAACTGTTATTAATTTTGTTCATTTGAACTTTTGAACCGTGAAAAAATAACTCAAGTTTTCAAGAATTAAGACTTTTTGTTGAACTGTGAATTTAAAATTTTTAAAATCGGTCGTCTTTGAGAGGCTCTGTTTAAACAAAAATGTTCTAAAGTGTGTGCGTGTAATGAATTTCATCAAAAGTTGACGCATTTAATCAGGATTATAAAACATTTGATAATTTCATTATTACATTACAATTTATTATTATTCTTTACATTACATCACAACATTTTCAGTCCATTTAAGGTCAACACTATCACCCTGTTTCGGCTTGACGTCAATGTCTGGGACACCCTGTATATACCAAACAAGTCTTAAGCGCTCTTCACAAATGAGTTAATGCATCATCAAATTTATTTTTATACGAGTTTAATGCTATTAAATACTCGTACATCAAAATTATTTTTATTTCATAATTTAAACTGCATAAATGGTGGCGGACGTAGCTCAGAGGTAGCATGTCCGACTCACATGCCGGAGATCGATGGTTCGACTCCTGGCGCTTTCAAATAATTGTTAATTTGTAGAATACAGGAAAAAATAGAAGTAAATAGGAAAAAAAGAAGTTTACAAGGTGAGAAGAACATATTGAGAAACAAGAAGAAGAATGAAAATTGAATGGAAGATTAGGATTTAAGAAGAGATAGTAAATATATGATGAATATATAAGAAATATATATGTAAGAATTTTATAGAATATGATGAAGAATAAAATGAATAATGTATGTGGCTAAAAATGCTGTAAGCGGAGGCCAATAAAATTTAAAAAAAAAAATAAAAAAAAAAAAAAAAAAACTGCATAAATGTACAATATACCTACATGAAATTATAAAAATTTACCAGAAGATAAATATAATCACATATATAAAGAAATTTTCATTTCAGTTAGGTTTGTTGATATTGATGTTTGCTAAAAATGATTATGTTCATTCATTTCAATTTGGCAATTGAATAATTATTATATTTGTGTTTAGAACAGCTTCGAATTCATTCATTCAAAATTATTTACTTAGATATTTTAATATATTTTACTTGGCAATTGTAGATCATTATAAAACGCAAAATTAATTTATAAATTACGATAATTTTTTTTACGAAACTATCATTATATGGCGTTTCATTCTCAGAAATTATATGTACATTAATTTTAACCAAAGGATGACCGCATAAGACTGCATATTTTAAATTACTAATATAATTTATCATATATCATTATACCACTTACCTGCGATCACACATTCAGAAACTAAACAGGTGAATAAAACCGAGTATATAACCATATTTTCATACATTTTTTTATTTTCAACATCGAACGGTGCACATTCAATGGCAAGTATTTAATTACAAATAACATTAAATTTATTGAAAGAGCTTGCAAAGGTTCGAAAGCTCTTATCAAAATCAGAAGCTCTTAGCTTTTCAACAATGCGTTAATAGTATGGACATACTGTATAAATTCTGTGTAAATATGATAACATAATCAAAGTACGCAGTTTGTATAAATTAATAGCAGTTTGGGATCATAATAAACATTGTTTCATGTATCGATCAGTGGATTATTTAGCAGAATTGATACCAGACAACTCTTCAAATGACAAACAAAAAACTAAACGTATATGATTATTCATGTCCTTTATTAATAGATAGATTCGATATACATGTATAACACCCAACTTTCTGTTGTGAAAACAAAAAAATTAAAAAAATATTTTTTGTATCAAATTTATATTAAATAATCTTTTTTTTTTAATTTATTGTTTGAACATAATATATTATATTTTAAAAATTAAAACTTTTTTAACGTTAACGTTTCATAGTTCTGATCTTTTCGCGCCTTTTTGTTCTCGTTTAATTATATATTGAGAATTCAAAAACTATTAAAAACTGTATTATTTCCTATGCCATATTTTTTGTGCAACTTGAACATGGACAAATTGCGACTGAATATTTCATATAATTTAATTTGTAATTAGTAGTTAGTTAACTTCATTTTCACGTGTACTATTAATAATAATTTATTATTTATCATAGTTTAATTATGCAGAAATCAATTGCTATTCACTTTAGTATTTAATTAATTTTAGTGTGAAACTATTATTTATATTTATATTATATTATACTATTTTGAATATTTATTATATATATTTTATGTATATACTTATACGTATTTATATGAACATTTGAATTAGCATTTGAACCAGGATAAACAATGACCTGTACAAATCTGTACTTAAATCGAGAATTTTTATATAGAGCATCTTAATATATTTTTCAATAAGTAATAGGCATGTTCAACTTCAGTTTATAATATTTGGAGCCTGTGATATTTAAAGCCTATATTTTTTATCCTAGCTATTTAATAAACACGTTCATATTTATGATTTCCCAATTACACTTTTACCATCAGTATTACAATAGTATGAGAAAATACCTATCAAAATAAAGATTTTATCTTTTAGAAGCAGATTTATTTAAACAAAAATAATTCTTCAACTTCAACTTCTGAAAAGCAGCATACTCGTTGCAAGTGTAAAAATAATTAAGTATAGAGATTGATTATTAGCATTCGCCGAATTTTGTGCTTTTTTAATCCATGATATATAATGTGAAACATCGGTGTATATTCCAGGGTATACTGCACATCCTTTTCCAAATGACACGATTCCAGCCAGTTTATCATTGCATATTAGAGGTCCGCCAGAATCTCCCTAAAATACACACCAATAATAATAATGACTATTTTGAGTAATTTTTTAAAGTTAAAAACGAGGGTCGTTTGTGAGAGAACTGAGAAATGTTATTTTCAGACGTTTTTTATCATATCCTTTGCAACTATACAAACATTTTCCTTTCGACATTGTATTAGATGGAAATCGCTTTCATATAATTTAAAAAAAAATCTAGTATAATATGTATCTATATATAAGGTTATTGTAAAAATGAACTGTAGGAAAACTTACTTGGCACGAATCTTTTCCTGGTGTACCCGCACACAACATGTCTTCAGTAAACGTTTTGCTGTATATCATATCACATGTTACTCTAGAATTGATTGGTACAAAAACATATTTCAAAAATGGGCTCGCTATTGGAGGAGTTGCCTGTGAAAAATAATGTAAAAATATATTTTTGATCAACACGTGCTTTTTAATTTTAATCTTTATTAAAGAAAAACATTTTGATTATATGATTTAATGTTTATTATTATCCGCACCGTAAGTTGTTGTATACATATTTTGCAAATTACAACTAGTGCATTATATTTATTTTGGTTCATATTAAATACTAATATGGTAGTCATGTTTATGTGATCAAAACCGGGACAACTTGTTCAAAAATCCTGGACAATTCGGGACAAAAAATAAAAAACCGAGACAAGAAATGCTTTTAGAAATATCCGGGATACATGATGAAAATCCGAGCTATCACAGCCAAATCTATGGTTATCTTACTACCATCTCTTACTTAAAATAAGCTCGAGAATTTTTATTTCAGGTAGACGATTTAGTATATACTTAAGTAGCATCTATGTTAAATATTGCGATCAAAACTCTCTCAGAAAATACTTAATATCACAAATTATAAAATAACAATAAGTTAAACTTAATACATTTTAATTATGTCGTTCATATTTACTCAATCAAAATTATTATTTTAAGATTTTGATATAAAAATTCTTTAAATTCAAACTTATTACTGTATTTTATATCTATTACTGTACTGTATAAGAGGACAACGTTTTCTGGGCTTATGTACTGCAACTATGGTGCACATGCAAAAATAGTTATAATATTCAGATTATATTTTACATATTTGAAATTTGGTTATGATGAACAATTCGATCAACACTCTTTCAAAACATAGTATGCTTCAAGTTCAAAAACAAACGAGTGCAAAAGGTTATCAGTAGACCTACCGTTCGAACAACTCCCCAGCCCATAACAGTACAATTTGTGTGATCTTTAACTTTATCTTCATTTAATTTGATTGTTCTTCCCTTATGCGTAGGGGCTAATCCATCCACAGTTTCAATCTATACAAAAGGAGATATTCAAGTTGTAAATAAAAATAAATTAGAATTGTTTCTCATCTAACTCTTAATAAAGTGTATTGACCTTCAACACAGCGATATCATGTTGGAACGAGTTTTTGTCATATTTTTCATGTGAAATTATTTTCCTGACTTTCAATATATCATCTGGTTTGGCTTGCGTGATTTCAAGAATACCGACTGCCACGGTGTAAAGGGAAAGATTCGTACTGAAAATAAACATAAAATAGAGTCAACAAATGTAAGGGAAAGATATATGAAATAATCACTGAATATGTTTATTAGAATTTTTTGGAAGATAAATTTAGTGATTCAAAGTCTTACAAAATTTGATCAAATCAAATAAAAGTTAAATATAATTGTTTAAAATATATATATTGAGAAATTCGTTGCAAATCCGATATAATTACTTAATTATTTTTATTGTGATAATTAACATTTGTTTACTTTTGTATCAATTTCGATAGATTTTCATCTGTTATATATATTATATATAACGGATTTGCAACGAATTTCTCAGATAAAATCTTAAAATCAAATGAGTGTAAAAATTTTAAATTTGATTTTTTTTATTTAATTGTTAAATTTGTTACCAACTTGATAAATATGATACACGAATATCAAACCTTTGAACTTTCCTGAGTAGGTACAGGTGAAAGATAAATTAATTATCGTTTCATTACATAGATTTAGATCAGTATCACATACAAATAATTGTTCAGTCCAAACAGTATAAAAATTCAAAATGTTGTGACAAAATTTATTAGCCAAGTTTACTAATTTCAAATTTAACCCTTTCGACTCGGATGCCGGCACTCCGGCGGCAAAATTCATGTAAATCTCTGAATTCACGAGTGGAAAGTGTTAATATAAACTTTGATAAAAAGAATTTTTAAAGTTTGAACTAGAATCAATTGTTTTGTTTCATATGTAATCTTCAAATGAATATGAAAGGGATTTTGAAGCATTTGGAGAAATACGACTTTTGTGGTGGGTTCGATTTTGAGAATGAATGAGAATCATTAGCCAATAATATGTATAATAAAAAATATACTTACTCTTCCACACAATGAGCAGCTGTTAACACTGTGTCATTTCGAATTAAAGCCCCGCCACAAATATGCTTGTTTAATTTTCTAAGTGATACCTAAAACCATGTTTATTTTTACTTTTGTAAACTAATGAAACCAATTTACTTTTGAAGTATTAGAAAAACAATAGAAATGTTTACCGGTTTAAGTTCCTCACACATTTGGATTTGGTTTATATAACATATTAAAAAAACAGCAACGAAATTTGAATACATTTATAATTTATATTTTTTACAAAAATTTTACATCCTGTTTTATTTATGAAGAATCTTGCACATTTTCAAACCTGTGCCAAAATATTCTAAATGTTTATAATACTTTTAATTAATAAAATAACATTAAAAATTTTAAGTGATTGAGAAAATGAAAATAAAGAATTTAAATATTTAAATTTATATTTTCAGAACAATTATATATTTTTATTCAATTAATGTAACATGCCGATTTTTCTAAGTTTCACTTACTGGGTATAGAAATTGGCCTTCTCTTGCAAATTCACCTCCAATAATTTTTGTTTCCAAGTGTTTTGAATAGCCTGATAATAAGCATGAGCATTTTTAATGAAAAATATAATGCCACTATCCAAAAATATTTTAATAAATAATTTTTATACCTTACCATGTTTTACTGAAAGAACTATAAAGATTAGAACCACAAAACTTATATTTATATTCATTTTTGCAACACTTCAAACGAACCGATATTAAATAACTAATTTATTATATTTTTTTCATGTTGCTTTCGATGATAATTCTTTATCTAACAGATAATAGTAAAACATTTACGATTTTTGGTATCTAGTTGATGATTAATTTGATGGTATATCTGCAATTAGTAATCTTTCAATACCATTAGATTACAAAAAGATTTTAATAGGTATTTTAAATTAGATAGTGCTAATTATCTATATCATAATTTAACTCATTTGCAATAAATTACTTAAAAAATTAGGATTGTATATATATATATATATATATATATATATATATATATATATTTATTTATATATTTTTTTATATATGAATTTTAAATATGTTGATATGATAAAATATAAATAAAACTTAAGACACAGATTTCGTTACTGTTGTAAAAACGCTATTTTAATAAAAATAATTAAGCATTTATAAGCAACAAGGTCTAGTCATGTTACATGTTATTTTATAGTTATCTTTGATTTTCCAAATCATCCAAAAAATTCTTAAATGTTCAAAAAATTCAGAAACCTTCATTCAATATATAATACATCACTAAAAATAACTAATCTTTTAAAATTGAATAAGGTAACACATTTGTATTTGATGTCACATAACTGACTAGTGCATAGCATTTACAACAATTGTTATGACTGATATTATAGGTAGATATAGTGAATTTTTGATAACACTTCCATCATTTTGAGCTTTTTTGATCCATGTTAAGTAATGTGAGACATCGGTATATACACCAGGTACATCGCCACAGCCTGCTCCAAAAGAAACAATACCTGTTAGTTTATTGTCGCACACGAGTGGCCCTCCTGAATCTCCCTGGAAAATAGATGCTGGAATAAATTTCCAATATCTATGGTGTTTGTTTGATCCATTCTAATATCATTCATAATAATAAATAATTTATTTTATAATATTAATCTTTAAAAGTCAGTTATGATATTTAATATTTTTAGTGATTCCAAAGTTAACATTGATAAGATAGATTCCAAAGTTAACATATACGTTTTTTAAAAAATAGAACCGCAATCAGAGTAAGCAATAATTTTTCTCCATATAATATCCAAGAAGAGAAAAAATGCAGAGGATAAAATCATAGGAATGCGAGTATTTGGAAATAATTTTGAGTGTGATATAAAATTATGCCAAAGTCAGGTCTCAGAAGTTTCTTTACAATTTATACTACGTTTTGATAAATTATGCGAAATTCACTTTTGAAAATAAAAAGCAATCCAGAGCAACGTTTTAATATTTCAATTTATAATAAAAGTTGCATTGCCTATTTCCACATATGTGTAAATAAATATATAAGTTGCACACGATTTGCATAAATGCTTCAAAATTGTTTATTACGTTAAAAAAATTATTTTGTATATAAAAATTCAAATCGAGAAGTTTTAATTTTGAAGTAGTAGTTTGAAGTATTAATTTTCCATTAATGAAATAAAAACTATTGTTAAATAAAGTGGAGTTTATTTATCCAGTTATAAAAACTGTGAATATTAATTTTGTGAATATGAATATTATATTTACAGTTCAATGTATCTCACCTGACAAGAATCTTTGCCACTTTGACCTGCACATAACATATCATTAGTTAATAATGACTGATATATTTTGGCGCACAATACTCTTGAAACTATAGAAATATTAACGAAACGTAGTGCATCACTGCCATAGTTTGATCCCTAAAAGTGAGAAAATATTTTATCTATGAAGTTGAAACTATTTATTTATAATAAATAATAAATAAGACAACAACTTAAAATTCAAGGATATTTGTTTGGTATATAACATTTAGGATCCTTGATATTATTACAAATATATAAAAAGCAATTAAGATTGCCAACATTTAACTCATCGGAATATGTATGAGATTATATCTTAATTTTACAAATTCGCAATTGCAACATTATTCAACTATTACCGAATGTATTTGTATTATATTTTACTTTAGCCTTAATAACTACTATGTTAAGGCCTAATTTGTAATGGTGCATGTCAAATTTTATAAAATCAATGAAGATCAGTAACAGAAGACTAACACAAGTTCTAAATGGTGTATTGGACACTCATTATTACTAAAAATAACGTTATTGGTAAATAAACCAGTGATTGTTTTTGCTATACTATTCAAGATATTTATTTACTATTAGTAGTTATAATAATGAACGTCGTTTTTTTTAATTGGGGTATTGTAACAATGACTTACAGCTCTATTTTCTTTAGAAACATAATGATTTCTATATTTCCAAGGGACATCCAATGTCACTCGACGTCATACTCTCCGCGGCGAGAATCGAGCTTGGAACTTCTGATTGAAGTCCCACAGCTCAAACCACTATTCCAAGGAAGAGCCCAAACGTAATATAATGATAATTACAATCGTACCTGATACAAATCTCCCCAGCCCACGACAGTGCAATTAGCTCCTTCTTTAACCGGCTTGTCATTTAATTGTATTATTTTACCAGAATGTCCAGTCCTAGTTTTTACCTGAATAAACAATTGCGTTAAAAACAATATCTGCTAATGAATATATACTTGTACGATTTCATTTACCTTCAGTACTGCTATATCGTGCACGTAAGATTCGTTGATGCCGTACATTTTGTGTTTGACAATTTTGGTTACTTTCATTATGCTATTCTTTGGAATATTTTTTAATCTGAAAATACCTGCAGCTACTTTGTAGTGATCTGGCTTCGTACTAAAATTGTTTGTGTATTGACTTAAATGAATTGATTAATTTATGATATACATACTCTTCCACGCAATGGGCAGCTGTCAGTACAGTGTCATTTCGAATCAAACTGCCCCCACATATGTGTTGACCATAATATTGTAAGGAGACCTATGAACAATTCATTTTATTTGTAGATAATTTGACAAATTTAATGACAAACACTTAACACACACCAAAAATTCACAAATTTGTTAAGTGCCAACAAAATTGTTGTGTGTTGAGTGTTTGAATTTGAGAATCAGTTTGTATTTGATATCGTATTGAGTGTTTGATTCTTTTAATTTTTTTAAAAATTAAATAAGTGTATAATTATTTTTTTTATTTTTTATTAATGTTTTTCAGAAAAGGACATCTCATGCTCACGATCATCAAATTTGAAGATCGACAAAAATTTGAAGAGTAAAAAGAAGTTGATAAAAAGTCCTATATCAGATTTTTTAAATAATACTAGTTTTTTAATAACGTGTATATACTTGTTATTTATCACATTTATTTCGAATATTGAACTAAATTAGTAATTCATAAAAATAGAATATATTATAGTTAACAATAATGTAATAAACCAGAATAAAATTTTGCTTTATTAACTTCCCGTAGGGTAAGTTATAGTAATCGCAAAAAAATCGAAAATGAAAATTTTTATATATCTTTACGTTTCAGAGGTTTCTGAACATTTTGGCATACCTTAGAAAAAATGGATGTATGTGTGTGTGTGTGTGTGTGTGTGTGTGTATGTATGTATGTATGTGCGTGTGTGTATGTATGTGCGGATACAAATTTTCGTCGACGATTTCGGGAACACGGATAAACCGATTTGAATAATTCAAAAAACATTCGATTCGTATTAATAAGGAGACGTACTGATTAGTTTTTGGCGAAGGCAGGTCTAGCCGTTCCAAAGATACGGGGCAAAAAGTGCCGAAAACGGTAACTCAGTTTTTAAGAGAACGGAGCGTCCGATTTGAATAATTCAAAAAACATTTCACTTGTATTGACAAGATGAATAATCGATAAAATTTTCATGAAGGCAGGTCTAACGGTTTCGGAGATCTGATGAAAAAAGTAAAAAAAAATGCCATTTGGCGGTCAAAAATGATCATTAGACATATGCACATCAAATTATCAGATATTTTATAGAGATTTTAACAATAAGTATAAATTTGTTTTACATTCCTATGGGTTCCGTACCAATGTTTACGCGTTAGACGGCGACGCGGCGCTTTGATATTTCGTCTTTATGCAGTTAAAGCAGTACGATTGCTTTAAAAAAAAGTTTAGATCTTCCAAAATATGTCAAAATAAAATAAAACTTTGTTTTTTTCAAAAAAAAAAAAATAAAAAAAAATATTTTTCTAAAAAAAATTTTTTTTTCAAAAAAAAGTAATTTTTTGTCCAATATATAGTTTCTCAAAAATCTTATTTTTTCGAAGTAAATTTTTTTCAAAAATCTTAATCGTTTTTAAAAAAAAAATTTGGTACGGGAAGTTCCAGCAATTTGCCTTAAGGCACGATGCCTTAATTGCCTTAAGACAGAATTCCACTTACAGCTAGTTTTTAACTAAAATGATACCAACCGGAAATAAAAATTGTCCTTTGTTTGCAATTTCTCCACCAACAATTCTCGACTCCCCGTCATGTTTATCAGTCATCTCACCTGTATAATACAAAAATACATTATGTTAAAATAATGTGATTTACAATACCATTCGATAATTTTAAAGTGATCGCTAAGTATTATTCACTACTTAATATAATATCTGACACACACCGCATTGCAAAATCGTTGCAAGTGCAACTAAAATGATGCCATAATTAATCATTTTAATGTTGACTATGCCAAAAGATCATACGAAAAGGTATTTAACTATGCTTGGTGATATATTTGTATAATTTGGTATCAGCTTCGTTATCTAGAAGATAAATTCTGGTGTACAATCACAGTTTTCGATACTCATAAAACTGTATTTACCTTTAACACGCTTAAGTTCGATGATACAGATTTTATACTTATCGATTGCTTTGACGTATATTCATATTATATATATAATTTATATAATAAATCTAATTACTTTTTATCAATTATATTAATTTTTTATGATTAGATTTAAAAGATACACCTGTAGTTTGAGTAACAATGTACAAAAAGAACATGTTTGTAATAATTTTCATATATAATCGGTTCTAGGGCTATAAAATTGTTTGAAATACAATATGTTCTTAATATAGAAAACAATTATTTTATACCATATAATTTTTTTTTTCATTTTTATCCCTTATAATTTTTGTTTGCACCGTGTTCTTATTCATTAATTTTCAATTTTACAAGTATAATTTTTTAACAAAATTGATTTGTTTTTAATCTTACTAAATAAATATTTTTATGTATAATACTTACACTTTTTTATTTTCATTCTCGCACAAAGTAATGAAATCGTAATACAGTTTATTAGATTCGTTCTCATCATAAACAATTATTGCCAAACGAAGATATTATAAAAAAACAATTACAATTTTCTATTTTTATATTACAAATATATATTAATACATGTATTATATTATCTTAAATATTAAAATTGTGACTAAAAGTAAAATCATTACATGAGACTGCCTTATAATATAAGCATTATTTTGTGCATCTTTAATCCATTCTAAGTAATGCGATACATCGGTATAAACGCCTGGATTTTTACCACAGCCCTCTCCAAATGAAACAATTCCAGCCAATTTATTATTGCATACAAGAGGACCACCCGAATCTCCCTGAAAATTATAAATGAGAATTTAAAAAATAAGCAAATATTATATGTGTATACTCATAAAAATAATTGTAAGTTAATTTTACATTTAGAAGCTAATTTTTCGAATATCATCTATTTTTATTGATTTGCCTGATCTGATCGTGTATGAGTATTTATCCAAAAAAACGATATTTTAATTTATTAGAAATTTATTTTCTTACTTGACAAGAGTCCTTTCCTGGTAATCCACCGCAAAGCATGTCACTATTTAATAAATTCATATAAATTTTTACACATTCTGTTTTAGGAATAATTGGTATTTCTACATATTGAAGAAAAGGGCTTCCTGCCTGCGAACCCTGCAAATGGAAATCATAACGAAATTAATGTATCCGAGTTAAACTCGCAAATTTTCTAAAACAACTTTACGTTCGTGTTTTATATAATTTTATATTATTAGAGGATATTAAATCTTACCTCATATGTATCGCCCCATCCTATTACTGTACAATTGGTATGATCCTTTACTGGATTAGTGTTCAACTTTATTGCTATATCTGAAATAGTCTTGTTTGATGATCCAACTGGTTTTACCTATTCAAGGTATATACATTTTATTTATTATAATGTTTAAGAAAGGGCTAACACTTTGTATAAAATAATGGCATTTACCTTAAGAACTGCTATATCATAATCAAAGTTTATATCCAAGTTAAATTTTTTGTGTTTTATTATTTTTGTCACTTTCATTGAAACGGTGTTTGGAGATTCAATTAGAGTTGTTGTATTGAAAGCAACTGTGTAGTATTCAGGTTCATCTCTAAAAAAATTTACATAAAATATTAGAGCTGTTTAACACGTTGGCAGAAGTAGGAATTAGTTAATTCCACTGTGTCAACAACCCCATTACGAAATAACGAGGGGATGTTGACACGTTGTAGACACTTGCAGTCAACGTGCTAAATATATACTTTTTTATTTGTTTTTTTGTCTATTTATTATAATTGCTTAGCTTACCGTACTTATAATTTATTTTAATTTTTCTTACAATTAATGCTTAATCACTTATTTTTTTATCCAATTTGAAAATATATTTGACAATTCGCATATATATTCAAAGAATTACTGCTTTTTTTTATAAATGCAGATTGCAATTTAATATAAAAAATAAAGTAATAAAAAATATACATACATGATAATACAGTGGGCTGCAGTTAAAACTGTATCATTTCTAATGAGACTACCTCCGCATAAGTGTTTGCCGCGAACACGCAAGGATACCTGAATTAAATTTATTTATATAATTTTCTCAATATTTTTATAATAAAAAACACACACACAGGCACATCATATTTATTCATTAACCTCAAACTGCTTCATAATTTTTGAAATTCTGCATTTGAGCAATTCTGAGCATGCCTTGTTGATATTTTCAATTTTTGTTTGCCAAGATCTTATTTTTAATGAACGTGTCATTTGGAAAGCATTTGAACGCTTAATTAAAATGAATTATATTTTTTATTAATTATTACGAGAAATTAATACACAAATAATTATGTTGCTTGCCGAATGTTATGGAACTCTCTATATTATAAAGGCGTTAAGGGGCACCACTAGTGTGAAATTTTCAAAAAATCGAATTTTTCCATATTTTGATAGGTTATACCTTGAAAAATAACATACCAAAATTTTAAATCGATATCTTAGATAGTTTTTGAGTCACAGCCATTTAAAGAGTATATATATAGTATATTGTATAACGATCATTTTATCAGGCGTTTTTCTCGAAACAGCATTTTCCGAATTTGCTGCAGCGATTACTCAAAAACAAATGATCCGATCACTATCGAATTTTATTTACATGCTCTATATATCGTTCTCCGTAAAATGAAATATCAATTTTTTGATCGGATCAAAAATCGCATTTTGGCAGTCCAAAAACGACCAAAATATTGGGTAAAATTCGCCTTCTTTTTTAAAACGCTGCCATTTTGTCAATTTTTGATTTTTTTTATCGTAGTTCATTTTACAGACAATATTATCTAGTTTAACGAGAAGTTTTTTTTAATTGCATCCACGTAGAAGGCCGGAATCACTGCAGCAGTGAAGGGCCTTTTTTTCGCGCCGTTGGAGATCGACGATAACTTAAAAAATATTTAATTTTTTTCTTCAATAATTTTACTATGTATTTTCAAAACATGTGTAAATATATTCTTATAATTTTGAAATGATTGATAAAGTATTTTTTTAATATAAATTCCCAAAAATCACCTTCTTTTTAGGCAGTTACACTAGTTGTGCCCCTTAAGAGTATATATCACATCACATTAATTGAACTTGAGCTTCAAATTAACTTAAATTTTCTCAAGACCATATTATAAATTTTCACACTCACTGCAAAAGAAAATTGACCTTCCACTGCAGGGCTCCCTCCAACAATTCTTGTATCGCCATTCTGCTCAAACCCGCACGTTTTTCCTAAATCACCAATTAAGATGAAAAACGTTTTTTAATTTCAAACTTTTTATAATAAAATTTAAGGTTTTAAGTAACTTAATATTTGAGTAACAATATCTAACTCACCAATTTGGTATATTACCACAAATAACGCAATAGCAATGGTGAATTTATGCATGATAAAATTAACTTTTGTGAACAGACTGATATCTAATCTATTGTCTACATTATTTATATATTTATGCATTTATCAATTGTAGATAATTTATGATTCTAGTGGAAATAGGGAATTTTTGATAACTCATAATTATTGAATTTTTATCAATAAGTTATAGGCGGGCGTTTATCTCTATTTGAGACTAATATGATATTTTAATGATTCTGCATCTAAGTTAGTTTATTGTTATGGTTTGTGGTTTTTAAATTAAATATTAATTTGAGAGGATATCATGTAGATCTTAATTATGAAGTGTCTAGGTTTCAAAATACAAAAAGTTCATACTACACCAAGTATGTATAGTACTACATCAAAAATAAATACTGAAATTAATTATTTTCCTATTACGATGTGAACTTTATCTTGGTAAAAATATCATAATAGTACGTAATAATTTTGGTTATTTTTAAATTAGAGAAGTTATAAAGATTTGTGTTAAAGAGTTCAAGCTACTGTTTTGCGTACGATAGCACTTTATTCAAAATCGGTTCGGTTGAAATATGAAAGTATTTAGTAAACAAAATTATATTTTCAATATAATAATTGAACTTTTTGTTCTCTAGGTTTGATCTTAAAATTTTCATCCATCCATCCATCTGGATTTTATTATATAAAGCAATTTTATCTGATAGTACTCTGAAATTTGATTGTACTCTGAAAAATTACCTGTTGCACAATTATATCAGAGAAAAAATAAGTTTTTCATTAATGAGATAATGAAAAACAAAAAATGAGGAAGTAAGATCTGAGTATTGAAAATATAATAAAATCTGATTACTAAAAATCAATCCCTGACAAAGAGAATTAGAGATAAATGCACCTATTATTATTGATGCACGTGCAATTAATGATTAATGATTAGGGAATTCCAAGATAAAATGATAATAGTTCACCTCTGCTTAATTATATTCTTCCACTAATTGTTTCCTGCCTCTCCTATGTAAGTCGTATGTGATGATTATCTTTTTGTCAAGTAGTATTTGATATCAAAATGCCAATTATGTCATCAAATGATTAAATAAATATAACTAAAAACGCTTCATTTATTCAATAGTAAAATGATATAAAAAACGGAATTCTGAAATGGATGAAATTATAAAAAATCTGTTTCGGCACAGAACCAATTGGAAGACTTCGAACAAAAATAGTTTTTTTTTAAGTATTATTATTTTAAGTAGTATTATTTTTTTAAGTATTATTTTTTAAGTATTATTATTTATATTTTGTTGATCCCATTTTGAGCTTTCCCATGCAGTTTGTCTATATATGTATGCGAGTCAAAATTTGCCTTTTTGTCGGTATTTTTCAAACATGTCTGTGACAATTTCAAAAATTTAAAAGCCATTCAACGATACGCGATAAGGACTTGTCGATTAGTATTGCGCGTCGATTCACCAAAAGTTTCTTTGTAATTAGTAGATAAGAAAAATTTTCCATCAACCTTTTATGCTGAAATTCCTGAACCGAAAAAAACTGTTCGAAAATTATCTCTTTCGAATCGGATCGGTTCTTCGTAATTAATTTTTATTAGAAAATTTTTTTGACCTTTTGAAACCCTAAAATTTTGATTCTGAATTAACATTTTGAGATATTATTACAGGTTTACAAAAAGTGGTTTAATTATAAAAATTTATTTAAGTGTTCCAATTTGTTAAAATTATATTTATTTTATATTTACTTAGGGACAACTATAAAGAAGCAACAAGAGTGATAATTTTTATTTTATTTTTAAACATTAAGTATGTAATAAATTAAATTAATACAGATACATGTATAATATATTTGTTTAAAACGTATCAATTAGAATGGCATTAATTACTTTATAGCGAAGGCGTAAACTTAGTTATCAAAATAAACAATTTTATCACTCTGCTAAATTTGAATTACACACAACGGGAAGCAAAATGACACTTTTACATCTAGTTTCCAATAGTTTACTTAATTAATATTTCTAATCAATCAAAAATTATCGTAATTGTGTCATTCAAATATTTATGAAAAATAAAAACTATGATATAAATATAAATATTTAGGTTCATGTTATTACACTTGTTACTCTCATGTATACTAGAAACATTTTGTTTGTTATCTGTTCTATCCGTCGATGTAGGAGTAAAAGTATTTGAAGTCGATGTAGGAATAAATGTATTTGATGTCGATGTAGGAATAAATGAACTTGAAGGTATATCGTCGCTTTCCTCCAGTTTACGTATTGTTGTATTGATCCAATTATTATAATGTGATATATTTGTGTAAACTCCTGGATAATCTGGATGTCCGCAATATACACCCCAAGAAACAACTCCTGTTAAGAGTCCGTCGCATACAAGAGGCCCGCCAGAGTCGCCCTGAACAATAAATAATAAATTTACAATTCCAAAACAATAACAATTTTTATGAATTTATGATGTTAATTATAATTCCTTTAAAGTCATTTTCTATTTTTGCAAAATATATAACTATTAGATATGTATGTACATGTGCGTATGATGCAACAATGTGCCCCCCAGACATTTCGGTAGCTAACGTCGAAATAATAAAACGATTTTTCCAGTAGAAAATACTCTATTCAGAACTTGAATTCTTAGAATAAAATTTATCTAAAACATGTGCCCCATATTGATCCAAGTAAACCCACTTGTTTAGTTACGTTTACTTATATTTTACAATAATCACTAAACATTTTTATTTTTTATATATCTCACGTGCTATTCTGAAAGTCAATTCTTGTTGGATTTCCCATATACATTTGTAACTTCACTGACTGATAAAAAGTACATTTGTGCATTTGATGGTTCCATGAACTTTTTCATAGGATATAATCATTGCGAAATATCAGGATTTCCGTACGTGGGGATATAGCTCAGACGTAGAGCGTTCCACTTTCTTGCGAACTGAAAGGTCCCAGGTTCAAATCCTGGTGTCCCCGTTATTTTTTTTTGCTTTTAATTAGTTTTCAATTGATTTAATGAAATTATATATATATATATATATATATATATCATGAATTAAACTAGTGGTGTATGGCATCGTGTCTTAAGGCAAATTGCTGGATCTTTCCGTGCCATAATGAAATGTTCGAGGAATATTGAATGTTTTCAAATAGATTATTATAAATATTGTAACATTGTCTAATATTTATAAGAATTATATAAACTGAATTGCAAAGTAGAATTTGAAATAAAATTTAAACTACTTTCGATACACAAACTTTTTTGAAGAAAAAAATTTTTTTTTTCAAAAAAGAAAATAAAAAATAAACAATTTTTTCCAAAAGCAATTATTTTGTTAAAACAAGCAGAAAGTTTATAGGATCATTCAAATCTGACGCTTAGTTCTCTCAAGAACTGCAATTTTTTGCACATTTAGCTTTGTATCTTTGAATTGGCTGGACCTGACTTTGCGAAAAACTAATCACCCCTTCTCCCAAACATTACAAATTAAATAGTTTTTAGATCATTCAAATCTGAAACTCCGTTCTCTCAAAAAATCGATTTGTATTTTCTGCACTCCTTTCTCCATATCTCCGTAACGATTGGACCTTTCTTTGCTAAAAACGAATCATTACATTTCCCAATCTATAGGATTCGAATGTTTGTTGAACCATTCAAATCGTTTGATCCGTGCGCCCAAAAACGTGGACGAAAAAATGCGGACATACGAAACACACACACATCAATTTTTTCTGAGGTATGCCAAAATTTTATAATCCTTCAAAACGTAAAGATTACTTACGGGAAGTTAAAAATTACAAATAGCATTACTTAGGGTTGGGCTTAGGGTTAGTTGAGCAAATTTTTACTTGAACGGATGTAGCTCCTCAATGATAAGTGTCAATAAATAGTTATACGGCTTGATGGATTTGTTGTTTTTCGCTTAACAAAAGTGTCAATAGTATTTTTCGGTAATAAGTAAAATTTAGGAGCTACAGCAAAAAGTCGAGCATGTTCAATGTACCCCATAGGTGGGGCAAGTTGATCACTAAGAAAGTATAATAAAACCATAGGTTCAATGTCGATTAGTGATGAAATGAAATAAGTGTTTAATAATCAGTTCTATATTTATAGTCTTTGACAAAGAAAACAAAATTTATAGTAATTTTCTTTGACCAAAAGTAGAATCAACAAAACTATAATTTATCTATAAGATTTACCAATAAATCTTAGGAATAATTATACCATTATATTTTTTTGTTAAAAATCATTATTTTTTTATTTTATTACTTCTATAGAGTTAACTTAAATCTTAAAAATAATAATTAATTTTTGAAAGTTAATGGTAATGTTCTTCGTGACAGAACAAGTTTAGCAACTATGCTCAACTAACCCCAACTCGGAGTTATTAATAGCTTGATTTAATAATGTGTAATAGTGCGGTGTATTTTTGTGTAAATAATTTTCTGTAAGTATTTATCATTTTTCTTTCGACATTGATTATAAAATCTAAATGATTTTGTTCGACTGAATTTTGTTCGACACTCGACGAAGACCGAAAAGTATTTTTAAATCAAGTTTATTCACAATTGATTAAGTTTTTTTTTGCTAGGTGTTACTGCCCTAACCAACATAACTCATCAAAATATTTATCAACACCAAATTCACATAATTCAAAATACATTTATGCATTTGATGGTTTCATTGGCTTTTTTATAGGAAATAATCATTGCGAAATATCATGTTTTAAGTATGTTGGGATATAGCTCAGCCGTAGAGCGTTCACCTACAATCAGAACTGAAAGGTCCCAGGTTCAAACCCTGGTATCCCCGATTTTTTTTTTTCTTTAGTAATGAGTACTATTTTATCAATTGATTTATTTTAAATGATAATTTTTAATTTGTTCCTAACAGTCCTTATTGTCCTATGAGTTGTTATGATTTAAATGCATAAGTGTGTGTATGTATGTATGTAAGTTCTATAATTGTATATCATTTTTCTTTCGACATAAAATCATTTAATTGTTCCACTGAATGATGGTTTCGACA